TCAATCAACTGGTTAATTAACTATTTAATTAATATTTCAGGCCTTGCTTATAATATAAAATTTATTTACAAATAATTTATTTCAATTTTTGCTTAATAAAACATTTTTTTGGTCGGAAATTAAACAATAGGGTTTAATTGTCCATTTGGTTATCAGAGTGGTATAGAATTCCGAGGTTTTGGTTATTTGCTTTAATATAGAAAGCAAATGTTTGGTTTTTGGTTTTTGTTAAGCATAAATGGTTTTGTTTAAGTTTTTGTAAAAGTGTTTAAATATTTAAGTAAGTGTTAAGACTGATTGGCAAAAGTATTAAGTGTTAATGTTGATAATGTTGAGTTATTATTTTACGTTATTATTATTATTATTAATTATTTATGATGATCAATCAACATTAAAAAAATTTTTTTGAGCCATTGTTTACTATTAATTTACCACGTGATTCCCCCTACCCTTAAATAATGTATTTTTCGCTTTTCAATTTACATATTATTATTATTGCTATTATTATCAAATGTTGTACGAAAAAAATGTGTTACATGTTACCCAATTCCCCGCAAAGAAAAAGGAAATAATGTAACCGTTATTCTCCAAACATCAAGTCGAATTTTATATTTTATATTTTTATATAATGTCATATTATAAACTATTATCATCGTCATCATCAGAAAGAAAGAATTTTGTATTTAAAATTAATAATGAAATGTATAATAATGTTAATGTTAATGTTAATAATTCTGATAGAGAAAGTAGAATAGATTATTTTTTTTCATTAGTTGAGAAAAACAAGGAGCTTTCTGAAATTGAAAAAGAATTTTGTAGAGAAAATTTTATTTATAATTTTGAATTAAATAGTGCAAGAGATAAAAGGGGAAAACCAAAAGAATGTAACAAGTGTAAATTGACAAGATACTCTGATAGGTTCTGTGAAGGTTGTATTAGTTTACAATTACAGAGTATTTTTACCACTTGGACTTCTGGGAATAACACAGTTGACAACTTTATTCAACAATGTCAAATGAAATCATCTCTGCCAAACCGTATTTTAGAATGGATACCTTTTGTGCAATTTAAAGAAGTAACAAAGTTGACAGAGGGTGGATTTAGTTCAATTTATACTGCTAGATGGACAAGAGGAAAAATAGTTGATTATGACGAAAATAAAAAGGAATTCAGTTATTTAGGAGGAGGGCAACTTGTAGTATTAAAAAGTTTAAATGATTCAAGTAATCCAGGAAAAAGCTTTTTTGATGAGGTTGGTAGTTATCATTTAAAACAAAATAAACAATACTGTATTATATAATATTAATTGATTTTATTTCAATTTCAGGCAGTGAATTATTGTAAAATTAAAGCGCCACTGATTGTTTCTTGCTATGGTATAACCAAATTCCCAGATAATGGAAATTATGCAATTGTTTTACCTTATGTTTCAGAAGGAAATTTAAGGGGTTACTTACAAAAAAATCATTTAAATTTAACATTAAAAGACAGAATTACAATATTCCATTATTTATGTGAAGCATTAAATAGTATACACCGGAAAGATTTAATCCATTGTGATTTACATAGTGGTAATATACTTGTGAGTGGAGGTAGATGTTTTATTACAGATTTGGGATTTTGTGGACCAGTTGATGAAAAATCATCAGATAAAGTCTATGGAATTGTATCATATGTTGCACCCGAAGTACTTAGAGGCAAAAAGAACACCAAAGAATCTGATATCTATAGTGTTGGGATGTTAATGTGGGAAATATTTGCAGGTCATCCACCATTTGATGATAAAGCTCACAATCATCGTTTAATTTTTGACATATGTGCAGAAGATTTACGACCACCAATATTGTCTGGAATGCCTGATGATTATGTACAAATGATGCAGAGGTGTTGGGATGTGGATCCATCAAAAAGACCAACTAATAGAGAGCTTTGTATTTTTGCTAACAATAAACACACTGAAATTATTAATGATAATAATAATAGTAATAATACTACTAATAGTGATGGTAGTAGTGCTTGGCAACAAGTATACAAATCACATCCGGGTGCATATCATAAAAGTAGAATCTTGGATGAAGAGATTGCTAAATCAAAAAGCTTGAAAATTTATACAAGTAATGATAGTTCGTTAAATAATCTTGATTTTAACTCTTTTCTCTTAAATGCTGAAGGTGAATAAAAATTTCATTTTTAATTAATTAATTGGAACTTACTATCCATTAATTATTACTAACAATATTTTTTATTTACATTTGATTCTAACAATTAAAAGAAAGAATCGATGAATGACTTATTTAATCTCCACTAAATTTATTCATTATCTTTTTATTTGTCATTTTATTTTATCTTTATTTTATTTCTTAAAACTAAACTATAAATAATGTTTTGAAATAATAAACTTTTTAATTCTGATTAATTAACAATTATGGCCTGACTTTTGGGCTACTCTTGTCAGTTAATTGCAAATAATTAGTTTACAATTTCCTCTTTCTTGTACCTAGACGAATCTGTGCACAGTTAATGGTACCAGATAATTGTAATTAAATAAATATGGCCTTTTACAAAGTTCTTTTTATTCACTCGTGATCGATTTATTTGTTTACATTTATTGAACTCATTTTTGATTTACTTGCAAAACAACTCAAGTAGCTTGTTTAACAGCCTTACGTTTACAATTACAACAACACTACCAGTATTTCCGATTAACCTTTGGAAGATGCTTCATTAACACTCGCCAGGTAACCACATTAATCCTTACTCACTAAAGCAAATCATGTTACTAATAGTTGTTAACAC